CGATTGCTTGACACTAACGTTGTGCAATCAATTTTGATTTAGTATAATATACATTTTCACAACTGTCACAAATAACTAATAAGCCATTTTTTCTTTAACTTGTATGAACCTTTGGATTTCTTGCGAAGAGTACTTTTGAGTTGCTCCTTAAGTTGGATGTCTTGTTCGAATTAATTAGAGTAATAAGTTCCAAAGAGTGGAATTCGTTTTTTACTGATCTTTCAAAAACAAAACCATCCTTTTTTTCGATATTTATTTCGGTATTAGTTGAGTTTATTTCTTCTTCGCATTCACATTTAACTCTAAAAAAATGTATTTCAAAAATTAATAGGTATTATAATAGTTAATATGATAATTACCTATGTGTATGTATTGATTTTTTCATTTTTGTTATTGTAACATATTTATTATTTATGTTAAATGTAATCATGTGTAACACAATATATTAAATTAGTTCAGGGCTTTGCTTTGCTTTTAAAATTGTGTATTATATACTATAGCAAATAATATTTTAAGAAATAATGATAACATAAAATACAAATTACAAGATTAAACACACAAAATCAGATGCCTATGAAGCGAAATCAAAACACTTTTTAGTTTAAATTAAATTACGTGAATATTGGATTTATTATTAGTGGACATACAAAGAAATTTATAGTGAATCAAATGAAATATAGTCAGTACATTTAATTTAAAAATATATAAATATATGATTTAAAATATTATTAGTTACTGTACGTAATGACAAAATGAAACTGTTTTTCATATTAAAATATGTGATATAAATAAATAATAATAAAGTAAACAATGCATTAATTACTCAACCTTAGATGCACAAATAATCTAGGAACATAAATACAGATGATTATGAGTTATGACAATAGCTATGGGGATTTAAATGTCAAACCAGTGACACTGTGACAGATTGTCTGTCTTTTTCAAAACCTTCAAGAACCATAATATTAAATCAGACGTGTTTATTTAAATTTATGCAGTGAAGTTGTATGAAAATTACTACTTTTTTTAGATTAACGGGGATAAAATAAAAAGTGTGAGAAAGTCTATCTCAAATAGTTCAGTTAAGTAATTATCTCCAAATTCAAATTTGTTCCACTAGACAAAGGGGTCACCATCTGATTTCGACGGAGGTCCATTTTGAAACTTACAAACTTTTTTTTTTTGTTTTATTTTTATTTATTTCGATTGATTTATTTATTCTAATAATATTATAACTGCAAAAAATAATTCTAAAAAAAAAAAAACAAGAAAACATTTTGTAATATTATATTATATTGTTATACTTAAATAAAAACACAGAATAACTAATAACGACGATCCTTATGGAGTGTGGGGTGACCCAGTGTACTTACTACATAAACATATTTACACACCCTCGTGCACACACACGGAAAATGCAAAACATAAATAATGTTCAACACCTCTCCGACCAGACGCTCAGTAAAAACAAAATCAACAATTACCAACGGCGCCAGGCGACACCGCATTGTAACTCATATACATCCAAGGACCCGTCGACAATTGTCCGAATCAAGATGCTGGAACATAATAACACAATAAATAAATAAATAACCAGCGGCACCTTTGTCATACCGCTGAAGACAAAATCATAAACTCATCAATACGTGAAAGAAGAAGGGATTACACCAAAATATATCGGGCACCTTTTGAGGCTTTTATTGATTTTTAAGTTTTTAAACAAGTTATCATCTTTTTTAAGATTACAAACTATGTACAGATTTCAATGCTCATAAGTCAAAAAATACTTCTTAACTCAACTAAAATCAGCAGAGACATTCAGGATAGTCTTATGTTTAAATGTTAAAATAGGTCATGTAACATTTGTTACACTCTATAGGTATATATATATATATATTATACACAAATACACACTATATTTGATTGACCAATACAAAATGTACACACTTGACACCTTTCGACTTGTCCAAATTATTACTTATTACTAAAATGACGCGCGACATAGTATAATTTGGATGTAACCATCAACAAGATTGAACTCACCTATATACACTTATTAAATTCCATCTTCCAAGACAGTAAAGTACTATTTTAAATGTAATGGTTATTTGAGAATTATAAACCAAATGTGTCTTAATATTTGTCTGGGAATAAACGAGTTAAAAAGTTAAAGTTCAGTTAATAGTTAAGTTTAAATTTTAACTTTTTTAAATTTAATTTTCATTAATTTAACTTTAACTTCTTCTTCTTCTTCTCAGCTTACCGGTCCGTTGAGGACCATTGCTGCCTTCAAGAGGTCTCGTCATCTCTCTCGGTTGTAAGTAATCTCAAAAGTTACATTATGGTCTATTACTTTAAGGTCTCTGGTTATTACATCGATCCACAGGGTTCTTGGTCTAATATAGGTTCCTTGTTTTGTTAATTTTTTCTAGAAGTACTTTTTTTATTAGTTGTCCATCCGCTCTCCAAGTGAGTCTAAACCATTCTAGTCGTTTGTTTCTAATAAATACTACGATATTTGGTCTGTTGTACTATTTCATTAATTCATCGTTTTTTCTTCTTTCCTAGGTATTCGTTTCTTGATTGAAACGTGGTCCATAGATGTTCTTCTGTTACTTTTCTCTCAAATATCATTAATTCCGTTTCATCACCTTTTGTTAAGAACCATGGCTCGCAAGCATATGTTATAATTTTTGGGCGCAATATAGAGAAGAATTATTGATGTCCATGAAATTAATTTTGATTGTGAGTGATACAGAACCAGCGTTTTAACATTCAAAATTCAAATATCGAATTTATTAACGACTTTAACAATTGGTTTTGTGTTGAGAAATAAACTGTTCAAAATATAAATATTTAAATCGAATACAATTTGACATACTTGTACAATAACCCGCCAAGCCATAACATCCGGAATGTACTTATATTGCCTATACAAAACGCCCAGTAAACCAGATAAAGATAGGTTTTTTGTTTATTATTTTATTTACGGGAGTTTTTTAATGTCAATTCATTTTTTTTATTCATCTGTTATTTACATTAGTAAGTTTTTTGTATAGAACCGATGGAAACAATTATATACCTATGTTATATTACTAATTGGGTAATTTTCATAATATTTATAAAAATATAAAAGTCTACTACTAATGATTTACTTTGATGAACTCTAATAAATTATAAATATAAAATATTCTACTTCCATGAATAGAACTATAACGTACACGAATATTAAGAAACACCAAAATAAAATATGTTCTATGTTTTTTTGAAACCAAGCTCGGGTAAATCAAAAATATTATTAATTAAATAGTAAATTATTTGGTATGACGATTGACGATGAACACATCTGCGAACACATAGGTAGATGGCAATATTTGGAATTTTAAATGCTGATCTCCCGAATAGGTTAACTAGATTCACTTTCCCATAGACCAAGATATTTTCGAAGAATATTGAAGCAGTTTTACTGCCCCAAATGGTGACACAAAATAAAAAATAAATAAAAAAACCACACATCATTGTAAAATCAATACATTCATCGCTCCACTCAGAATCTAAAATTGATTATCTCCTGACAAATTTCTGTTATTAAATGCGTTTTCCGATCAAAATCCTATCGTGCAAGTGTGCAACCTTGTTTTTCTCTTTATACATTTTTATTAAGTATAAAATATAATAGCTTTAAAGCACAATATTTTTTTAACTAGTTCCTAGTGGTAATATTACATAATGAGACAATATAAAAATAGCGTTAATGTAGTTTACTTTAGTTAATAAAGTGAAAAATACAAGGTGTAGATATAAAAATTCCAAATGGGATATCATTTTAAATTACCACCTGGGTTATATACATTTTAGTATGGTATACATAAACCTAAGGATTACTGACTGTGCAACTTTAAATTATTTTTAAATAATAACTATTTTGTTATAAATGCAACATGCATATTATAATACTATATCATTCCTTCTTATTGCACTATCTATAGTGTTTCTAGTTTCTACCTTAAGTATTTTTGAGGGATTACCATATTGATCCATCTAAATATATTAATGTCTTAAAATATATAATATCCATTTCAATATACAATATTTTTTTTTATATTTAAGTCATAAATAATAAATTACAAAACTGATAAATCATATCTTCGAAAATATTATTCATTATAATTTTTGTGGTAAATTGTTCTACTCTAAGATAACTCAACAATCATAAAAAAAACAATTTTATGTGAATTCTTTTTATCTCTGTTGCGCAAAGGTCTTGAGGAGAATACAACAATTTCACTGAAATAGTGATATCCTATTAACTAATAAATTATGACATTATATTAATTAGAAAATTAAGTTAATTAACTAATCTAAGTAAAAACAGTAAGTTTTTTTAGTTTTTACAAAAATAAATGTTTAACTAATTACTAATTAATTCTCAATTTTTGTGATAATAATTATAATTATATCACTCTGCAACATTGTCAATTCATTTTTAAAAGATAGAATTTCGTCAACAATTATAATAATTATAATTATAATCAAATATTACAGTTTACTTAAATCCATAAGCAATTTCAAAACACACTGAACAAAATAAAAATAGTTGGAAAAATATATTGACACTTATTTAATGGATTACCATATTGTAATAATATTGTATTACTTGTAATAATTCAAAGTAGTCATTTTAAACATAAGCATTTGTATGTTATTGAACTTTATATCAAATAAATATGTAATGACACTAATGACTAGTGCAGTTATTCGTAATAATACTTATAAGTGATAAGTCCTTTTAATACTAATGAAATATATAACGTCAGCAAACAAATTACATATTTACATTTAATATAAATATGTACATTAAATTGTTACTACAAGCTGGGATTTATTAATTACTCTTAAAGGCAACGAAAAATATATTATGTACTAAAAAATATAATTATTAACAATATCTATATTTAAAACACCAAATATTTTTTCTGGCTTTTTTCAAACAGACAGCTTCAAGCATTGTTGTCATTGAACTGTACATCTGACATGAGGTAAATTTTTTCAGGCAGAGGTTTTGGTTGAGGGGACAATAGAGTTAACATTTGTTGTGAGGTGTCAACATTTGTTCTAGTGAAATAAAAAAAAAATTATTAAAAAGGTTGGGCATCAAAATATTGTTATATTATATTGAATGATACTCAACAATACTTACACACAGACAAAACCAATAACACTATTCTTAACAATGTTTTCTCCTACCGTTGTACTGAAACTCGGAGCTAACACGTGATACATCATATTTGGCCCTGTAAAAATTATCAAAATATTTAAAAAAAATAATCTCAATGAAAAAGTACTTTTATTAAATAATATCATATGCAACGCACTAAATGTTTTTTATATTTACCTGGAGTAACACGTTCAAGTTTTGTCTCAAAATCAGTTTTTTGCATATCTAATGGCATCAATACATTTGGAATGGGTGGTATAATTCTATATACTTTTATGTTGGAAAACCTTACTACGCAGGTGTGTGGATGAAGTACATTCCTAGGACTACCATAAAAGAATTCTCGAATACGTGCTGCTCTACCTTCCAATTTAAACTTATTACTCTTTTCAACTACCTAATTATAAAACAAATCAAATTTATAATAATACATCATAATTTAATTTTACTATTAAACCGTGGTTTAACACTGCATTTTATTATTTTAAGACAATTTTGCACTCTACAAGACAAATAGTATAATTAGATCTGCCCAATAAAGCTTAACGCATATGAAGACGATCTACAACTGCCAAAAAAGTGCATTTTCATCTCAAAAATATTGGGGGGCCTTACCATAAAAATAAAATTTACTGAATTTTCCAATGAGTATTGACTATTGACCACAGTATTTTATCAACGAAATAACTAAGTGAGTCAAAAATTCAAATCTTTCATAGTAAACAGATATTTTAGAAATTTAATGTAAAATATATAAAAAAAAGCAAATCCTATATATTATATGTGTTGAAGGGAATTGATTTGTTGATCTAGGGTTAACACATTGAGTTTTATTAGGCAGAGCTATTTATATTATTTTTTTTTTTTTTGCAGCCTATTATAAAGGTAGCCACATTAATCGATAAGTTCCCAAAGAGAATAATAAGAATAATCTTATTGGTGAAACTTACTCCTCTACTTTTTGGTAAAAGAACCACTTTGACAAATACTGGCATATCTCTCACTAGTTCATTATATAATCGTTCTTGATCAAGTACAAGAATAACATCAACTTCAAAAGTGAGTGTAATGTGAGTCAAATTCTGGTAACCTTTACCTTTTACCGGACCGCACGTATTAATTATTAATCCAGAACAGTTAACTGTAAAAATAAAATTAATCACTGCAATTAAAACAATTAAAAAAGAATTAAAGCAATTAAATATAATATAAAAATTAGCAAATATTATATATTCTAACACTAATTACCATAGAAGTATACAATTTAATAAAAAATCATTTATAATTAAAAAAACATTTTTTGGACTAAAATTAGTAATTGCTATATTTCAATCTATAATAAACAAATAATTACTAATTTTTAAACTGCAAGACAACAATAATAATTAAAAATACTTTTTTGCTAACATGGAACAATATAATCAAATAATCAATTATTTAGCTATGCAATATACCAAATGAGTCAGCTATATAATTTCAGTTGTCTGTATTTATATAGTCACAGTAATGAGTTGTTCATTTTTTTTAAATAAAATATCGTACATCATTGAAATAATGAATATACATTAAACTTTACAGGAAATCAATAAATAGTAAATCAGAGTAATTGATTTTTAAAATTATAAATTGTAAAAATTGTGAATAAGTTAAACTTTATATTATGTGCTCTTCATAATACTAATTAAAAATAATTATTATTATTATCATTTTAAAACTGAAAAACAGTATGTTTTACTTATTAAATATTTACAAAATATCGGAAGTAGGTAATACTGAACAAATTATTATAATTAAACTAAAACTCAATTAATTCCATACTGACCTAATGTTTTTTAAATATTTTTCTAATATATATCGATGGATACACGACAAATGGGACGATTGAAGGTATTCAAGAAGAGTTAACTCATTTCTTTTTACAAAGGAGTCTCACATCAATCCTAAACTATGAAATTCAATAGGTATCACTTTAAATTATTATCAGAAAATAGTAAAATGTTCACCAATAGATAGAAATCATCTCCTACTACCCAGTAGTATATGCTATGTCACTTAGCCTCTTTTGTCGTGTAGCCATCTGTATAATAGATGTAATGATATAAATTAAGTTCAAATAATATATAATAGATAGAAATTACTTCTAGGATTTCCATACATCCGTTGGTGAATAACTTCGGCCATACGAGATATTAAAGTGTTGTACAAAGTTGAATTAATACCCATTTTTGTATGTCCATAATGATAGACTAGTGGAGCTGCTTGGGAGAAACTTCCATTTACTTCAGCTGGCCTTTCTACCATGACTGCTCCTACAAATTATTGTTCTCATTAGGACTATTGTCTTATGATTAATTTAAAATCCATACAAACCAATTGTTCCTGGAACTGATATTTGTCCCTGACACGGGTCCAGGTCGACATAGATGGGTCTACGACCAAGAGCATTCATTCGTGTACTATAGTTAAGTAGTATTCTACAAAGAGTAGATTTACCCACATCAGTCGGTCCGACCACCATTGTAACAGGACCTCTTATCTTTTCTTTTTCTGCTTTTACTCGTAGTTGTTCTAATGTCGCATGGCAATTTAAATAAGACAACTAAGAGATTAAACACGGTTAAAATATGTACACATTGAAAAACAGATAATAATTCAGACATTCATAACTATAAAAATAATTAGTTATTAAGAATTGTATTGAACTCTACTAATTTTTTTTTTTCAGTTAATTTGTGTTCCGCCAGCTGATTAGTATTAAAATATATGAATTATTTTTTATTCTCAATAGATATTAAGGAACAAATGAAGCTAAAACTATATAGCTAAAATAAATTGATTTATCAGGTGTTACATTACATACAAGTTTATAAATATTTTGCATTATTTTAGATGTTTAGTTAAGCATTTTAAAATACAAGAATTAATTCAAAAATTCTTTTTTTGTTTAACTTTACAATTATGTTTTTATATTGTCTAATCTGTGAACACTAAAAAACTTGAATGAGATTTTTTAATATCGAAGAATTAAAAATTAAAAATACATCTTTAAAAGATACATTGTATTTGTTTATTCTGTCCGATATAGATGCAATATAGAAATGTATGTTCAGTACAACAAATCCTGTGTTGTTAGCTTTAATATTAGAGTTAATTTAAGTTTAAAAAAATAATTTCTTTTAGGCATTGGCTTTTTAAATATTTTAACTTTTCTGTAGTATATTCAAGTCATAAAATTTATCAAAATTTAAATACCTTACAAAAAATCAAACAAACAATCACAGATAATGTTCTAAACGTTATGTTTTAAAATAAAGTTAATTTACTTTAATATTTAAGCTAACTTAACTAACTTTATCCATTTTGACAAAAAGATTTACCAATAGATAAATTAAATTAATTGCAATTAAACTATTAAGTAAATTTGAAGAGAAATATACAGTAATGAACGTGATTTTAATATTTTAAAAACAATTGATACATTATTATGCATAAACATAGTTAAAATTAGTAATAAATAGTAGAAATAAGTAATCTCCATTAAGTAAATTAATTTTAAAATATCATTATTCTTACCATTGGGGTGTCTTTGGATATATAACTAATTCCTTTTTTTCCTCGTAATTTTAATGAACACCCTTGCCATGTAAACACCGCAATTTTTGCTCCAAAATAAAATGTATACAATTTACTTTTTACTAATTCTGCACCAAAAATTTCTGCAAACCCAGTTTTCAACTATAAAAATAAAAAAAAACACCATACATATATTGCATAATATTATTTTATAATATAAATTATATTTATAGGTTATTAGTCTATTACTGGTAACAGAATATATCTAAGTGACCTTACATATTTTATTACATAAGTAGGTATGTTTATGTTTACATAAGTGATTCAGGATTCTCACTCTTCGTTTAAAAGTAAAAATCACTTGATTCTAAACAGTAATTATTTTTTTTTTTCATGAAATAAATACAACTGTTCATACATTTTAAACAATTATAATTATTGCATAAGTTCATATTTATTCTTTTCAAATGTACCTACCTAATTACTAAAAAAATGTATAAGTGTATTTATTAATTATTCTTAATTAACAATACCGAGATTATTTGAAAACTATTTCAATTATTATTAATCCTTTAATTCTATTATTATTAAATAATATAGGTACCATAATATTATACTAACATAATAATATAGTAGATATCATAATTTTAAATTAATAATATATAGAGTTGTGAACTTGTTGTCCTCCAATTCTATTTACATTACTTACTACCTACCTTCACATTAAAATGTTGTATCAGCTGTAACTGACATTGATGTACCAATTTAAAGAGTACCTACCTAATATAACATATTTTATATGCAGGACTATTGGAGGTACTTACTTCTAATACAACTGTTTCATTTTTCTTTTCAACTTCAAACCTAAGTTCATTTTCAGGTTTCAATTGGAATTCCTGATTTTCAATTTGAAATTGTATGCTCTCTGACATGATTAATATTATGTATGTTTATTCAATATTTCAAAACACTGAAAACAAGCAAGAAAAACAATTAAAACCTAAGCACGGCTGATCATAAAAAAAAATTAATTAAGTTGGGTTTTTAACAAGCGTCTACACACCACAGACGACGTAAAACAAACAAAACAAAACATTTTATTTATATATTTTTATTACAATTTTAAGTTTACACAGAAGTTAGGTCTATGGAGGCAGCATTGCCGATGATTCGGACTTCAGTAAAATTTAATGCCCGCCACATCGGCCAGAAGTACCTCCAATAGATAAACATTCTGACTTATCACAATGTACGACGAACTAAGATAGTAATCATTTTTTTGTTATCAGTTAATAAATAAAAACATAATATTAATTTATTGTTCGCCAACTTTTGAATCATTCGGTTATTTGAATTTCGACTACAGACTACATCCGTACAGAGTTCTGTTAATACATTTTAGTAAAACATTACCATGCAAAAGTGTATTCTTTTTAGTGAAACATCCGAAGTATCGCATCGCCACAGTACCTTTATTTTCATTTGTAAGTGTTATTTTCGAGTTGTAGGTACTTATTTCTTAATAATATGTGGTCAGTCTAATTTGCTAATTTGTTCACAAATATAGATTTTCAAAAAAATGAAAATAGAAGGAAATAATAGCTAAACATCTTCAAATTAAATGATTACCCAATTTCTGTCTGGTATAAAATCTGCAGTAAGCATTTCACAATCAGTGAAAAGTAATTATAAACAAGGTTCAGTAAATTAGTAGACATGTCCAGTGGCTGTCTCAAACATAATCCAAACCACTTGTCCGGAATAGTGAAGTAAAATAAACAATATAAAATAAATTTTAATGCATGGACTTATATTTGTATTGAAAGGGCTTAGCCCTTTTCATCTAAATAAATGAATAAATAAATAATTATATTTTGAAATCTTAAAATATCCATAGCTTGCTTTAAAAGTTAAATATAAATAAATGTTTAGTGCTTCTCAATAAGGTTCCTTATTACAATATTATGTCATATCACTCTAATATTAAAGCTAACAGTAAAAAAATGGATCTACTGTACTCACATTTGCATGTTGCTCATAGTTTAAGGAGAGAAAACAATTAATGTTGCACTGACATATAATTAACAAAGTTTTAATTTTTAGGTAATAAAAATTTGTTGAGCAATAATCCAATTTTATTAACACAGAAGGCCTCAACATAAATTCAAATTGCAAAGAAACACATAACTTGTTTGGACTTCAGTATCTTTTCTGAATGGATGCATTTAACAGGTAAAAATTGAAAATTCACAGATGTTTTATATACATAGGGAAAAACAAAAATATAATTAAGGATAAATGGTTATTTTTACGCAACCTAAGTTTTTGATAAAAAATGATTTTGACTCTATTCCAAATAAGATTATGAGTCGTCGGTTAAATAGTGCGCATGAGCGTGGCTTTGTTCCGTGGCAGCGCCTGACGCGTCACCGTAGTGGGGACGGCATCTGGCCATATGACTGACAAAAACTGGTCGCCGCTAATTCATGATCTTATTTGGAATAGAGTGCATAGATCCATGAATTTTTCAAGAATTTTTAGAATTTTGTATACACCATACAACTTTTAAAACAAATTTTCTCTTCTTGAGATAGTTATAGGGATGACATTATAATTTTTTCGACTAGGTTTATTTTTATAGTTATTGTCTATAAAAAGTTCTTTGCTATGTCAAAGAGTTTGAAAATGTAATACCAGGATCCGTATAGTTTCTATAATATCTGTTAAAAAATACGTTAGTTTATTTATTTACTGTCATTTTAACAAATCCCATACCTAATTGATAAATTTGATGATAATATACGGTTATTAATTACATTCGTTTTTAGAAGCAAAAAGTTCTTTTAGGATTTGTCGTTATTAATCTGATTGTTATGTATATCTGTATTTAGGGACATTGTGAGCAAGTTGTAACTTGATACAAAATACGGAGGGTTTGCCTGCAGTAAACAAGGGGGTGGGTAAGACAGATTACAACTTTTGCAACCAAATAATATAACAATAATATATGGTAACAAAATATATAATATAATATGATAATTAACAGTATAATTAAATGGATGGTTCATCATGCTTCACTACAACTAATAACAGACAACAATTAGGTATATAATAATACTAATAATAATTTAACTCACTCTGAGTATGCTTATCTAACTAATACAATGATAATATAAAAAGACTCACAGTACCGTGCAGTGCAGGAACTGGCCAGCTACTCACTATTATTGTTGCTTATAAAAGTTACATCTAACAATAATGCAATTATAATGATTTATTACAGAATAAAGGTATATGTTAGTTACATAGCATTTTGACTTTTGTATAACATTTCAAATTACATTTTCACTAATAAAGCTATCTCTTTGATCAAATTAACTAGAACGAACTGCTTAACATTATGGCATAAACTTCTTATTGCAATTATAATATAAATTAATCAGCAATATTTATGCGACACTATTGTGCGTGTTCTTGACATAACAATTAACAATTAAAAAAAAAAAAAAATACCAATTTAACTACTTCTTAATGTTACCTAACCTAACCTAACTACACCAAGGTTACCAACTTTCAGTATCAAAATACCGGACTCACTTTTTTTTGTTGTTATCATTTAGTTTACTTTATTAACATTCCAATGAAATAAAATATAATATAAATATGGCTCTTTTTTAATATGTATGCAAATAATTTTAGGTGTAACATATTAACAATATAAACAACGCCTCTTACTTTTAAAGTATTATACTTTTGGTTTTTTATTTATATATTTATTACATTTATGTTCCTATGCACAAATTTGATATAAGATAATATAATTAATTAATTTTTGTGTATTATTTTTAGAAAAACTCAAATACGGGACATATTGCA